CACACACACACACACACACACACACACTCTCTCTCTCTCTCTCTAACACACACACACACACACACACACACAAACACACACTTCCCACTAACAGGCAGCCTTTCACATGTCACCACACTCCCCCCAAAAATCTCTTGTGTGAGGTCTGTCACATGGTGTGATCTTTTCAGCATTCCTTGGCCCTTCCATCCCAACAAAACACTTACAGCCCTGCAGCATCAATGCTACTACCACCTCAAAGATCATGAGCCAGAGGTACTCACTCAAACTAGGGCTAGTTTGCAGACACACAGAAACAGATGGCATCAGTGTCTGCTCTTGGAACTACAATGTCTGAGGTTACACTGTTGTTTACCTAGTAAAAGATAACAGAAGACCTAACCCACATTTATAAAAAAGACTGCAAAGCAACTACAAGTAACAGAATAATTATGAAAAATAGAACTTCATAAAGGTTTAATTTCCTCAAGTAATATGGAGTACAGAGGTAAAGTGGTCCAAGGCTAGTAGAGTATCTCAAAATGTCTTCAAAGATCTTTCACTTAGGCTCTGCAATTGTTTGAAACAAGTCTTTAACCTCAGGCATGCAGATATGTGTGTGTGTGTGTATACATATGTATATATGTATGTATATAGGAGAGAGAAATTTTTAAGTAATAATACTTTTAATAAAATTAACTTCTCAATAGCACATTTAATACATTAATCCCCCTTCTTGGTTTCTCTGCATTGTGTGCAACATCACTTTGACTTGATTATTCATGGGTCTATCTTATTTCCCACCTTTATTTTGCATTTGAAAATCTTCCTTGGTAATTTGTCACTGGATGCCTCAAATTAAGTCTGACCAGATCCTATTCCACTTCCTACAGTGGAGAGACCATCTTTCCCTGCCCCAGGGCTGTCTCCACCCACCCACCTGACCTCTCAAGCACTCACCCTCAGGTAGGCAAGGGGAAGTTCTTCCTTTCCCAGATGCTACCAGAGATAAACTTCTCATCTTTATCTTTAAACTACAGACTACACATGATTTGGAAAGGAGACTGTACCACACAATGACCAAAGCAATCACCATTCTGTACCTTTTCTTCTGTCTGGTCACTCAGAAACATATACTGATCGGCTCTGATTGTCATTGCCTGTCACCTCACACTTTCACCCACGTATTCACCATAGTCCACTTTCCCTTCCACAAACATGCACAGAGTCCCCTTTTCACACAGTGATATGCGACATCTCTGAGGCCTGGTCAAAAAACTGATGCTCTGTGCCACGTTATCGTTTGACTGACATTACTCATTTCATATACTTCACTGTCCCCTGATCACATCTCATTTGTTGCCAGAGAAAATATCGTGACTGGGTTTTTCCCTTCCACCCGTCTCATGACAGAGTCCTGACCTACTCGCCCAAGTAACTGACCACAATTCAGAGATCATTCAAGAACCAAACTGCTGGCTACTTCAGACTTGTGTCTTACAAACTGATGAACACCTGTAACACAGGTCTTTGAAACAGGGTTTCGGGTGTTCTTACCTGCTGTGGAATAATCCTCTGTACACTGTGAATATTCATTGCTCTCACTGTCAATAAGACTGATAGCTCGGCAGGATTTGGGGGCAGAAAGACCACCGGGAAGAAGAAGGGCAGGAGTCAGGAATTCAAATGAGTCGAGAGCCAAGCACAGAAGAAGCAACACGAGACGTTCATAGACGAGGTAAACGAGCCTTGGGACAACACATAGATTAATAGAAATGGGTTAATAAGAGATAGTTAAAAACAAGTCTAAGCTATCAGCCAAGCATTTATAATTAATAAAAAGTCTCTGTGTGGTTATTTGGGAACTGGCTGGTGGTACAGAAAAGTCCACCTATACTTACTATTTAATCTTTAGGCTTTTCCTGACAAGGTAGCCTAACCTTGTGCTCCTAATTTAGCCACACACACACACACAGAGAGAGAGAGAGAGAGAGAGAGAGAGAGAGAGAGAGAGAGAGAGAGAGAGAGAGAGAGAGAAAATGAAAACTTTCTCAGGAAATGTGAAGCTAGTCTTCCTCTTACATCACCTAGGAAAATGAGCATGTTTTAGACACACTGTCCCCTCAACAGAGTACATACTACATTAGCAAGGACTAAGCAGATCACGTTTACTGCATAGGATACCAGCAATGCACACTAAAACCAAATGCTGCATTTGTGGTGAGCCCTTAACACAAGCTTAAAGAACAAGCACCTGTGAGCTAGGGGTTAAGACGGTTTCTCAGAGGTGTTGAGAATCTGGCTAAGAACAGATGGAGGAAATTGAATTTGAAAGAGGGATAAAAGCAAGAACAACAAAATCAAGACAGGAAAATGCAGTAAGGTTTAAAAAAGAATTAAGAATGTGCAGTAGTTTAGACCTGGCCATGTGTGAAAGGTGGATTCGAGGCAGGACTAGGGGCAGGGGTAGAACCTTTAGTAGGTGGAGCCTGACGGAAGGAACTGAGATGACTGGGGTGCACCCTCCAAGCCATTGTGGGCCCAGGCCTTTTCTCCTGTTTGCTCCCTTGCTCATGATGCACTTCTGCCATGATCTGTGTGGGATTATACACTATTTGATGTTTTATAGCTGGCTTATTTCACTCAGCATATATTCAGGGTTCATCCACATTGTACTGTGTATCAGAATGTATTCCTTTCTACAATGAATAACACTCCATTTCCACATTCCCTTGGCAGATGTTTGGGTGGCTGCCGCCTTTACTAAATATAACTAGGTAATTCTGCTCTGACCATGGGTACAAAAACCTTTCCAATATTATGTTTTCAAGTCTTTGGATACAATCGAGAGACACACTTACTGACTCACATATTGATTTGTTGTAAATGTCTGAGAAGCTAGAAAATGGTTTCTATAATTGCTGCACCACTGAATGAGTTCCTGTTACTGTGGACAACAAGACCTAACAGAGACAACCTCAGGGAGGACAGACTCATTCTGTGGGTCCATTCCATCATGGCAGGGAATGCATGTACAGTAGCTCACACTGTGACTTGTCACACCACAGCATAACAGGAAACAGAGAGAACAAGGCTAGACCCAGGAACTCTTACAGCTTTCAAAGGCTGTCCCCAGTTCGTTTACTTCTGCCAGGTAGGCTCTTCCTCCTAGAGGTTCCATGGCTTCCTAGGAATCTACCAGCTAAGAACATGTTTCAAACATGAGCCTGCTGGGCACATTTCAGGTCCAAAGCATAACAACTGCTGCATTTGCCCACCAAGAGTGCTTACATTCTGTACTTTCTCCACTTCACTGCCAACGGGTCATTCTCTAGTGGGGGCTGTGTGTGTGTCGGGGCCGGGAGACCAAAACCAGAGCCCATTCTTGCCTCACTGCCCCGACTGCTGGGAATACAGGCATGCAGCCTGCCTTCTGTTAGCTATCCTAGTGAGTCTGAGGTAGCTTCTCCCTGCAGGCCTATTCCTTAACCATATCACTGCAATAACCTCCTCGTTAGTGTCATCAGAAAAGCACCCACCTGTCTGTCATCGTGTAACTTCACAGCTACCCCTTCATTTACTTCCATCTCTTTCCAGTAGGTCTAAACGAACAAACGTATCTCTAAAACATAGCCTCTGCCCATTTATTGACCAATCTTTGCCCAGGCAAGCTTCTGGTTCAGCAAGACTCCATCATTGCAAGGGACCAAAGTGCAAAGAGATAGAGGAGGACATCCGACATCCTCCTCTGGTCTCTGCACACAAACTTGTATATGCACATGTGCACACACACACACACACACACACACAAAGAACACATACACACCAGAAATTTTTAAATTTTTCAAGTAAGTTAAAAAATAATGAATGTCTCAGCCGGGCGGTGGTGGCGCACGCCTTTAATCCCAGCACTCGGGAGGCAGAGCCAGGCGGATCTCTGTGAGTTCGAGGCCAGCCTGGGCTACCAAGTGAGCTCCAGGAAAGGCGCAAAGCTACACAGAGAAACCCTGTCTCGAAAAACCAAAAAAAAAAAAAAAAAAAAAAAAAAAAAATGAATGTCTCTAACACAATTGGATATTTATCTTCATACATATTTAAGCGTGGCAGTATAGGGGAGGGGGCAGACCTGAAGGAGCTGGACGCAGTCAAGAATAAAAGTGTCAAGAGGCCTGTGCTAACACAGGGCTTTCTTTTTATGGTTTAAATTAACATTGTAATCCTATGTATGCCTTCTAAATTTTGCCATCTCAATAAATGAAAAACCTTTAAACCTAGTCTATATCCATTAACAGCTAACATCACTTAAGATGTTTTTATTCATCTTTAAGAACTTCATGTGTTTAGATCACACTCACCCAACAGTTAACGTTCTAATCATATGCTTGCAGCATAAGAAATTCAGCTGTGAAGAACTGGTTCCAATAATGCTAAATGGTAATAATTCACAAGCATAGACTGTACCATGGAAACAAAAACGATATTGTGTCACAGGACTTCCTAATCAAATGATACAGAATAAGGAGATATGCAAAAAAAAAATCCAGATAAAAAGTACAACAACAACAGGAAACAATAATGCCACCTTAGCATTATAAAATACTTCAATCACTGGACTGAAGCAGAGACAGGACTTTAGGAAAAAGAAATAAAAACATAAAAAAGCAAGAGTTTTACAAGTCAACACTGAAAAAGAAATGAATGAAAAGTAGGCAAAAGACTAAAATAAATCATACCTCCTCCCATACACGTGGCATGCACACGTAAGGAGAACCTCCATACCATGTCATCAGGGGACTGCAAACAGAAAACAATGAAATACCACTACATGTTCATTAAATTTCTAAGAGACGAACACTCACATGATCTAATGTTCAAGCTACTGTACAATGAGAGGACACAGCCTCGGCAGACGGAAATGCAATATAGTTAGTACATTTACACCGGAAGGCACTCTGATGTCCTCTCAACAAGACCCTCTTCATACAACCCAGAAACGATGATCCTTGGTAATGCCCAAGTAAGTTGAAAGCACACACTACACAAAAACATGCACACAAAGCTTTAGTAGCAGATTTATTTATAACTGCAAAACCTAGAAGCAGCCAAGATGCCCAATAGCTCAATGTGTATATCGAGATATATTTAACATGGCAAAATGCATTCAGCAGTTAAGAAGAAAATGAGATTTTATAATAAGCCCCAAAAGACAATGGAACCTTAAATACTTCTGGTTAAGCGCAAGAAGCCACTCTGTGAAGGCTGCACTGTGCATGATTCCAGTTACATGAAAGTTTGAAAATGAAAACTGTAAAGACATAAAAAACGGTAGCTGACTGAGGCAGGGCTGCAAGTGTGAGGGCAGCCTGGGTTACACAAAGATCCTGTCTTAAAAGGAGAAAGATCAGTGGTTTCTGGAAGCCGAAGGCTGGAAAATGAGTAAGAGTTAAAGAGGAGTTTGGGGCAGTGAACTGTAATTGTGGACGCGTCATCATGCAACTGTCAAAATCTGTAGGTTGGTAGTACACATTTATAATCCCAACACTTGGGAGGCGAAGGTGGAATAATCATGAGTCAAATAGCCATCCTCCAGTGCAAAGCAAGTTTATGGCTAGCTTAAGTTACACGTGACCTTGTCTCAAAACAAAACAAAACAAAAAGAACAATCAATCAATCAATCATAGTAAAGCAAAGCACAGGACCTCACTGAATACCCAGACCCATGTAAAGCCATGCCGAGTACATGCTTGCAAACCTAGCACTGGGCAGGTAGAGACAGGGGGACATCTGGGACTGCCTGGCAAGCCTAATTATTGAGTTCTAGTCAATAAAAACCCTGTCTTAATAGGAGGTGACAGCATTCTTGAGGACACTGAAGGCTGTCCTCCAGTCTCTACACACACACACACACACACAAATGTACATACATGCACATCCATACACATAGGACATGCTGCACACACATGTGCATCCATACACATAGGACACACACACGCACATGTGCACCCATACACACAGAACATGTGTGCGTGCACACACACAGAACATGGACACACATGCTCATCTATACACATAGGACACACATGCACATGTGCACCCATACACATAGGACATGCACACACATGCGCATCCATACACATAGAACACACACACACATGCTCATCCATACACATAGGACAGGCACATACACACAGAGGGAAATAACACCAAACAGTGAGCCCTGGACTTAGCAGGCTCTGGCTAACAAGGTATCAAAGCTGGCTTACCAACTGTCATGCACAGACATACAGTATATAAAGTATGTGACACAAACAACAGGGAATTAGGAGAGTTGAGGAGGGAAGGGACAGACTAGGAGTCCTCTCTACTTTCCCATCAAGTTTTCCACAAACCAAAATCTAAAACTGCCCCCCAGAATCTACTGATTTTTTTTTTTCAAAAAGAACCAAAATACTAGAAAATAATAAAACAATGTAGGAAAATAAAAGGTGAAGTATTCTAAGGTCACTTTATGGCTTTGTGTTGTTATGTTTGAGGTGCTCGGGAGTGAAACCCAGGGCCTTGTGCGAGCTAGGGAGGCATCTACCACTGAGCTACTCCCTAAACATACTCTTTGTGAGGAAGAGATGGTGATTTCCTTTAGACTCTGCGCCCAAACAATACCGTATTCTTCAAGTTGAAGAGAAAGCACTGAATGGGAAAAGCACTAGGGAAAACACACCCGTGTCACCAAGCACACCTCTCAGAACCGTGCAGCGCCTTACCTGAGAGTTGAGGGCCTCCAGCTTGCGTTTCCGGGCATGGAGAGCTTTGCTTGGAAAAGCCCAGTAGTAATTGGAGGTTCCGATCCTCTCGCAGTCAACCATGCCATCGTCCACCAGGCTCTGCAGGACTTCTTTCACTGACATGGCAGCTGAGGAAGAATGTCCAAGACTCCAGGGTAAGCAGCATCATAGGGAAAATTCAAAAGCAAGTACCCAGAGAAACACGTGCAGAGCATATGACAGTTAAGAGCTAAAAAAGGAAGATAACAGTGTGTCAACGGGCATCTATGTGTGCATAAAAAGTGAGGGAACCCAGGCTCTCAAAGGCAAACCTCGCAAGCCCTTTCTTACATACAGATCTTGTGTGCTTATGTGGGAGCAAGGGCGGGCAGAGGTCATGAAATTAGAAAAGGCCCATGAGAGGAGAAAAAGAGACCGGAAGAAGAATCTGCAAACAGTATGAGGACACGAGTGACAAGGAGGTGGAAAGGCAGACAGTGGGGGAAACTGTCCTAGTAATTTGAAGGGGACAATGAGATGGGGGAGGGAAAAGGAGACCTAACTGGAGTACACATCACAGGCCACAGGGAAACCTGTCGCTCTGCATGCTGATTTAACAATAAATAAAAGTGATCTATAAATAACATGCTCAATGTATTTCAACTACAACTACACTTTATTTTACTTCATTTTCAGTACACACAGGACATGCGTGCACACACACGGCTTTGGACATGCCTGCTAAGCTCTCTGTTGCTAAGCTCCACCCCTCCCTTTTCAATCCACTCTAAACTGAAGACAGACTAAGACAGACAGCATGCCCCCTGGACTGCCAAACTAAAACATCCAAAGATGGAAGAAAGGACTCCGGGAAACTGTATTCTCAATACGGGTGTAAACCATGGAAGTATGTCTCTAAAGCTTTAGATGGATGTCTTTCCTTTCTGAAGAAATTTCCCTTTTATAAACTCAGCCACAGAGCAGAAAAGATGGATACACATGTTTGCCAAAGCATTCTTATCAGTAGCAAAAGGAAGTAGAAACTAGCCCAATAACTGGATTTTTAAGAGCACAATGCGAGGTTATCCAGTAATTTAATGATACGGAGAAATACATGTTGCACTGTATAGAATGTATGCTGTAGAGGAGTGAGGAGACTGTGTGTGTTGATGTGACGTAGTTCAGATGCAGAGAGCAGGCAATTTCCACTTCATTTTCCCAAAAATAAACATGCATGATATTCAGCTAAGAAAACTAAAAGTTGTGAAAGATTAAACAATAAAGAAACAAACTAGTTCCAATAGTTAGAGCTAAGATTTAAAATCAGAATCTATTAGCAATGCTTACTTTCTATGTACCAAAAACTATGTCCTTATTTTAATATCCATTTAAATTTTTTCTTAGAGAAGATCTCTAGCTATAAAACTTATTTAAAATTTAAAGATCTAATAAATAAAACTGACACCAAATGTGCAAAACATTCAATCTACTCATAAAGTACAAGTGAAATGAAAGTCAAAGGATTCTAAAATGAAGAGAGTCGTAGTGAGGCTCAGTGAGGAGTGCGTGCCCAGCATGCACAGAACCCTGGGTACAAGCCCCAAGACTGAAAACAAATGCAAAGTTAGTGTGAACATAAGCTGGCCAAGCCTTTCCTGAAAGCAATTTAAGAATACATGTTTGAAATTCTAAGAACTACGCAAACCTTTATTTTCTGTTTTAACAGTCTAATGAAGTAACTTGAGAGGTGAAGAAAAATGTATGAACAGAGCTTTGCTTTGGTTCCATAACCAAACCCCATAGACCAGGTGCTTAAACAGCAGTTAAGATACAGCCAGAGAGCATTGGCTTAAGAAGAGTGAAGCCGGTGTTCAGTCCCCTTTCCCACAGTTCCAGCAACCAGGACAAGACAGCGTCCAATTCAGTCACCGGTGAGGATGCTTTGCCTGCTGTGTGGATAGTCTATGTTCTCGTTTTATAAGTGACCCTTCCTCAAGAGACATACACAGATATCTCTCTCTCTCTCTCTCTCTCTCTCTCTCTCTCTCTCTCTCTCTCTCTCTCTCTCTCTCCAACCTTCCCTCAGCCCCCTCCTGTCTTAAAATTAGAGCCCTACTCACATAATCATCTGTTTCTGCTTTACTGTGACAGTCTCTCACCATGGAGCTCAAGCTAACTCAAACTCATGATTTCCCAGTGTTGTGACTGCATCGGTGTATCACTACACTCAGCTTTTAACTTAATGTCCTCATGAAAGTCCTATTTCCAGTTGAATGTTGGAGAGTCAACATATGAACTGGGGAAGAACACAGTTCAGTCCAGAGCTGAGAACATGTTAATTACACAATGCAGTATTTGTAGAAAATCGAGACGGTCAACAATGGGGGACCAACTAAGCAAGTTTGATGGGCAGTCGTCACAGGATGGAATTCATCTTCCAAAGCATGTGATACACACATGCAGATGACACGTTTATATAAAAAGATACACAGCTAAGATGAAGCTCCGTGGTGGAGTACCAGCCTAAAAGTGTGAGACCCTGGGCCAGTCCCCAGCACACCCACAAACAACCACAAACACAAAACGCCATGTGCAGCCCGGTTCCCTCTCAGCATGAGAGGTCTTTACATACATACACTGACAAAACTTCAAAAGGAACCAAAATGTTTACAGTGGTGCCTTTAGAACAGAAAAGTTACGTTTTCTCCCTTAGCTCAGCGATGGGAGCTGCCTTGCTCTACCTGTCTTCCTGAAACGGGGGAAAAAAAGACCTCTGAACCGTGAGCAAAACCAAATCCTCCTTTGAAGCTGTCTGTCAGGTATTCGGCCACAGAAATGGGAAGTCGGACTGGCAAACAAATGCCACTGAAAATTACGATCTCAAGATGAAAAGCACCTGTACGTCAGTCTCGGGGGACCCAAGCCCGCCTATGCTCTCATGTTAGCCTTCTGCCTCGAGCCGAGAGGCAGCAAGTTTGTTTCTTTAAGCTATCAAATTCATAGTCAACTGTTGATGCAGCCTCATGAAACTACTACACTATGTAAAAGATGCCAAGTCACATTAGACAAATGCTACAAAATATTAAACAATTTTTACTTCTTTTGAAATAAACTATAAAATAAGTGTGCGTATGGGTAAAGGTATATGCATTCCCTTTTAACTGTTCTGCGGCAGAGGGTCCAAACACAGGAACTGATTGATGGCTAAGAAGTGTCACATGAGGCTTTTACAAATATACTCACTTCTAGATGTTTGCATTGTCCATAAAGGGAGAGACCACTGCAGAAAAGACTGAGTCCCAGGTTCCCCAAGTCCCCACCACCCACCATCTCTTTAATACTTACTGATGCCTTTCTCTTTGGGAGCAAGCTTCTCCAGGTCTTTTAGTTGGAATACATCTTTCTAGTTAAAAGGGTTTAAAAAGGTGAAAAACACATAATTACTTTCTACTGTTTATTTATATTTACCATAACCGTGTTCATAAAACATAGCATCAAAAAGCTATGTCTACAAATGAATAATGTATTAGAATTGAGTATTTTAGAACTAGAAGAAATGCTGTATCTCATTCAATGTCATCCAAAGAACTTAAGATGGACATACTTCCAAATGAGCACAGCTGTCTATTCATGACTGGACAACAACAACAAAAGCCATCTTCTCATCGAAGCAGGAAAACTAACTCCGGAAGGTGATGGGCTGCTCTGACACTCTGATGTTAAGAAAACCAAAAGAGGACTGGAGAGATGGCTCTGGTTAAAAGCAATAGTTCTCTTACAGAGGCTCCTAATTCAGTTCCCAATACCCCCCTGGTGGTTCAGGGGATCTGGTGCCCCCTTCTGGCCTTTGTGGGCACCAGGCACACATATCGTACACATACATACATGCAGGCCAACATTCATGCACATAAAATTTTTTAAATAACATCTAAAAGAAAGAGAAGGGAGGGGAGGGGAGGGGAGGGAAGGGAAAAGACAAACAAAACACAAACCCCAGGCTCAATAATGGGAGGATTGCTTTGAACCAGAATTTTGAGGCCAGCCTGGGCAATATAAAAAGGTCATATCTTAAAAAGGAAGGAAGGAAGGGATGGAGGGAAGTGAGAAGGAGGGAGGGAGGGAGAGAGGAAATGAGGAGGGAGAGAGACCAAAGAAGAAAGAAAGAGGGAAAGTGCTCTACTCGGTCTGTCTCCTGCTCCACAGGTTTACCAGCTGGAAATAATGTTACAGACATTGTCAACGTTGGTTCTCATTTAAGATTTTATGAAGCAGTTAACTCCACGTGATGGAAAACGGTCCAGCTCATGCTGAGTCTCAACCACTCATCCACACGTCCCCACACTAACACACGCTGAACCAAACATTTCAGGAAAATACAGAGTATTTAATGGCGGTCAGGGGACACTCTTTGCTGACTGTTCCTTTCTTCTGAAGTGGTGAGAAGCCCTAGGACAGTGAAAGTGAAACTGTCTGGGAAGACTAAGCAGTCAGTAATTAAAAGAAGCACTGTGACTGTTCAACTGGATGGAAACTAAGCCCCAAACCTCTGCTTATCCAAATGGACATTTTACAAAACCAAGAAGACAGATACTGCCTAAAAGAAAATAGCTGCAAAAATATCTACCTGACAAAGAGCCCTGGAACCTAGAATATGCATTGTGTGTCCAAAACACAAAGAACTGTTGAATGGATAAAGGAGCAAGATGACGAATGCATTTGTGGGCAGTATGGCACCCGGTGCTTAGCCAGCAGTCATGAATGGGGGCAGCATGGCACCCGGAGCTTAGCCAGCAGTCATGAATGGGGGCGGCATGGCACCCGGTGCTTAGCCCGCAGTCTTTATCAGCAGGTACACAGTTCTTAGTAAGTTTTCTAATTAGTTCAGAAGGTGAGACACATTCGCCAGAGGTCACTGAGAAAACAGACCATAAAACACAACCTTACCATTAACATATATAATCATACAGCAATATTCTTTCAGATTTTGCATTTTCTACTTAACACCTCATAGTGAACATTTAGCCATGATACCGTGATGCCAAATTCTATAACTGATGGTGTAGAATATTTGTCTTAGAAGTGTTTGTGTGTTGGAATTTTACTTATCAACAATGGAATTAGAATCCAAATTCCAGAAACTGAATTTCAGAATCATGCTTTTCAACCTTGGACCATAATACTGATTTGTTCTGAATTGTTGAAGGGCTAATGTCTAATATTTACTAACATTTGACATCAGTCTGGATCCCAGATATATGGTGTCTCATTCAGGAGAAAACAGATGAAATGCTTTCCATTACATTTCCAAAGTTCACTGTTACACTTTTAATTCCATCCCAAAAGCTGACAGATGAAGCAAGTGTGCAGCAACATACGGTATCATGTGACAAACAGGAACACATGAACTGAGCAAACCAACTAACAGAATTACTTATTATCTCCACAGAAAAAATTCATTGTGGAACACCTTTGAGCAGCTAGTCATTAGTGTTAGTCTTTAGTGTCAAAGTGCCATTGAAGTTGAACATTTTGAAATGAGAAATAGCCAACTTTGGTATTTGAGAAGATCAATACTAAACAGATAAAATCACCCACTGACTACTTTCTTGAGTTTCCACTGCCTGGAAGAAATTAAGTCTGTTCTTGCTTTAAGGCCACAGTAAAAAAATTTCAACACCGCCAAAGAAAAAAACTGAACCAGACTCCATCTTCTCAATGACACTCTTGCACTGGCTTTAAAAACATAAAGGATAGACTACTTTTTTAAGTCCTCAAGAGTTTAAGAGTACTGAGAATCTGCATTATCAAAACACAAAGGACGTTTATCAGCATACTATCTGAGCGTACCATCTTCCCCTGTCTGCACAGGATGGAAACAGCCCCTGGAATAAAGGCCGTAAGAAGGTACGAGGGTAAAAAGCCTGTTTGGACTTGTTTCTTGTTGTTTCTTTTTGTTTTTGTCAAGACAGGTTTCTCTGTAGCTTTGGAGCCTATCCTGGAACTCGCTCTGTAGACCAGGCTGGCATTGAACTCACAGAGATCTGCCTGCCTCTGCCTCCGGAGTGCTGGGATTAAAGGTGTGTGCCACCACCGCCAGCTGGACTTCTTTACGAAAGAAAGGTCCACGTACAGGAACATGGTAAAGAAAGTAGGGCCTAGAGCCTGGTTTTGAACTCTGCCTGCCACTCAGTGAAGCTGAAACTTTATTTTCTCTTAGTGACTGGCACAGGCCTCTGCAATAAGTTAGGGAGTCCTGGGTATCATCATAATGTATAGATAGACTGTAAACACAAAGCAGAAGGATTTCGGTGCTCCCTGTGAAACTAGGGGGTCCTTTTTGGCTTAACCCCTGGTAATATCCACTCTTGTTTTCTGAGACCTTGGAGGCTTCAGACTCTTTGCCTCAGGAGTCCTCAGCTGGAAAGCAAAGCTGAGGACCACAGGCCTTACCCCCAGGACTGTCCACTGGTGAAATCAGAAAACCTATACCAAATGCCTGGGGATGGGCAGCACTCAGTAAACTAAGTTATTTCAGAAAAAGAGGTCATAATCAAATATACAACTCAGAAAGAGAATTCCAATATCAGTCTATAGGACAGTCTGGATAAAAGACCATGAATAAGGATATGGCTCTTTCCTATTCCAAAGCTCAGAAGAGCCAAAAGCATTGGAGAATTTTATTTGGCCCTTAAGACCATGGCAGTATGGGTCCCTAACAAAGAGACCATTAACACTGAATTATGTCACAGAAAAATACACAACATAGTGTGAAAATACACTTAACGTAAAAATTATACAAAGTACTAACAACATTAGGGGAATAACTTACTGTCTCAAAAAACAGTTCCATCATACGGGTTCTCTTCTCTTCCACACTCAGTCCTTTTTTCTTTGACTAAAGCATAAAACAAAAAAACACATCAAAAGCTGCGGTTTTAAAACCAGCATTTTATAACAATTGGGCATTAAACATTATCTTAACAGTTTTGTGATTTTGTCTAATATCGACAGGTTGGTCCCTCAAGGCTGGCCCAACGACTCACTTCAACAGCTACATACCAACCCTCTAAGTAGGGTTGGTCAATTTCCCTACACAAACAGTAACAGCAGTAACCTTTTATGGGAATTTTGTTTTGTTTTGAGACAGGGTTTCTCTGTGTATCCCTGGCTGCCCTCAAGTAGACCAGGCTGGCCTTGAACTCAGCAAGCCACCTGCTCTGTCTCCCAGTGCTGGGATTAAAGGTGTATTTCAGCTGGGCGGTGGTGGCACACACCTTTAATCCCAGCACTCCGGGAGGCAGAACCAGGTGGATCTCAATGAGTTAGAGGCCAGCTTGGTCTACAGAGTGAGATCCAGGACAGGCTCCAAAGCTACACAGAGAAACCCTGTTTCAAAAAACAATAAACAAACAAATAAATAAGAAATAAAGGTGTATGTCACTACACCCTTTGCAGAAATTTAGTATTTATAAAATGAACCAATGAGAAGCCACTGTATCAACTATCAAAAGGCTTACGTTTTGAAAGAAAACAGACAGCCACTTATAACCAGTGAACAGCTACATGCACAAACACCCAGGACGAACTGATCAGTCCCACCCAGGAAGGGAGACGTGCTAATCTAGACGGCTAGAGATGAAAAGGATCTGGTCACACTGGGAGGTGGGGAGAGGCGTCTTGTGCAGATCCATGCACAGGCTGTGTTAGGGACACAAGTCAAGCACTGAGACAGTTACTGTTTGGACTGTGAGGAGGGAGAAAAGGAAGATACAGTTCAGAAAGTCGTCTGGGGTCAGATTACCGAAGCTAACCGGGAGGAGGGTGGATCCTCCCATACAATGAACAAGGGCTGAGGAACTTCTAAAGCTAGGAGGACAAGGTCAGCGTTAGACTGGAGTGTAAGAATGGCAGGTGGCAGGGGCTTGCGAAAGCTGAACACTTAAAAACCAGAGGACAGGGTTCAAGTCCCAGCACTCACGTGGTGGCTCTGTCTGTAATTCCGGTCCCAGGACATCTGTCCCTCCCTTCCGGCCTCCCTGGGCCCTAGGCATTCACATGGTGTACAGACGTACACACAGGCAAAACACCCATATACATAAGTTTTTTATTTTATTATTTATTTGTTTATTTGTTTATTTATTTATTTATTTATTTTTGGTTTTTCGAGGCAGGGTTTCTCTGTGTAGCTTTGTGCCTTTCCTGGAACTCACTCTGTAGCCCAGTTCCAGGCTGGCCTTGAACTCACAGAGATCTGCCTGGCTCTGCCTCCTGAGTGCTGGGACTTAAGGCGTGTGCCACCACCGCCCGGCATTTCTTTAACATTTTAATTGGAAAAAAAAAATAAAGAATGGTGGTAGCAGCGTGTAGGCTCAAGTAAGAAAAAAACACCCATCCAAATAGAAAATGGAAGCCCGTAATACCCGTAAATCTTCATCTAATTTGAAAATAAGGCAAGCAGTATGTAACTGAGATATAACTCTTATTACATATTATGTATAGTACATATCAACTTCCATTCAAACTAAACAAAGAGAGGAGCCAAACTTCTTTAACGCAAAAATTGCAAGAAAAATAAAAACGGTGTGAGAAACATCACTTGTCTGGGATTTGGGATTTATTTATTATTTATTTTGGGGGGAGGGGATGCTATGGACCACGTGTAGAGGTCAGAGGAAAGCCTTCCAAAGTTGGCTTTCTCCTCCTTCTGTGTGGTTCCAAGGATGGAACTCGGTAGGTAGTCAGGCTTAGCAACAAGCAAGGTACCCACTGAGCATCTCACTGGCCCGAAAATGGAAGTGTTCTGCATCCTTCTCAAAAGCTGCACAGGATCATGTTGTTTCCTTGGTAAACACGAACAAGTGTCTATTCACAACCAATAGAGAACAGGCGACAGATCAAAGTAATGACATCACCAAAGTCCAACTTGATGAACCCATGAGTTTTGTTGGGTTTGGGGGACTGTGGGAGACCAGCTCCAACCTGCTCCCACCTTTCAAAGGGCTCTTGGGTGGAGGAGAGAGGAATGAGGAAATACTAGATAGAAAGACCTAGACAATGAGGAGAAAGACAGAAACACAGGATAGTTTCTGGAGGACCTAGGTCAATACCCAACAGCCTTGTCCTTTATTCAAAGGGGCTTTTTATAATATGCCAAGGGGAGAGGCAAAAGACCTCCCCTTTGCTAGATCAAAGCACAATGTACATCCAAGTGTAGACCCTTTCAAACACCTGGTAACCACGCCCATGGTCAAATCATCCCATTATGCAGCCCTGCTGGGTAAAGCAAGCTTAGATTTTCTGACCCTGAGTAAGGTCTCACTAGGAAGCCTCTGTGGGTCCCCACAGTTGGGGTTACTTACTGGAATATATAAGGACTTACGGGAGCAGAAATGACTCAGACAGCTGCACCACCATAGCCCACCCTAGCATGTGTGACAGCCCATAAAGCTGGAAACCTGGAGCACAGCAGATACCCTGCGGAACCCCAACAGGTTTCAGAGCGTCTTAGTGTGAGCCTCTTCCAGGCAGCTAAGCTGGCCTTCTTTCTTCTAGGTTACTACACCATCCCTGCTCTCTTCTGGCTGCTGGGCTTGTCTGAGTTACTCTCTGCTGTCTTCACAGCTTATATACTCTATGGGAGTGCCCCGCCTAGGTCAATTTCAGGGACTTCCGGAAGCTATTTTGAGTTGTTTACTTCCTGTCTTAATTTAATGAGCCTTCCTGCAGGATTGAGTGTTTCACCTCCCCTTAGATCAGTGGTTCTCAACCTTCCTAATGCTGTGACCCTTTAACACAGTTCCTCATGTTGTGGTGACCCCCCAACATAAAATTTTTTCATTGTTACTTCATAACTGTAATTTTGCTACTGTTATGAATTGTAATGTAAATATATGAAATGCGACCCCTGTGAAAGGGTCATTTGACCCCCAAAGGGTTGTGACCCACAGGTTGAGAAATGCTGCTGCCTTAGACCATACTGTTGATTCACCTCCATGTGAATACCCTGTCCCCAAATCTCCTGTTTTACCTCCCTTTCCACATCCGATGTCTTAAAGAGTTTCTCCAAGATGGAAAGTTTCAACTTTGGAGGAAATTACTACACAACGGATCATAGGAAAATAAAGTGCTTGTTAAGGAATAGTAAGATAAAGACCGATTCTGTCCAACCAAAACCCTGTCAGAAAGCATCCCTCTCCAACACTTGAGAAAAGAATCTTGGAATGCCATTCTGTATTTCTTCTGGTAAAATTAGAAACTCACTCATTTCCACAGCAACAAGATTATGTAGTGTTTCTTGATGTGCATGTTTGTATAAGTAAGCAGCCTCCAAGTTCACATTTTTCCCCTCTGTCCCTCTGGAACACAGCACTCCCCAGGGACCCACTATTGAGCCCTTCCTCTCCTCAAATCTCTTCTTTGATCTTATCTTCTTTAATTTTAATTAATGCTGTGAGGAGACCACAGATCTTTATGTCTGGCCCTGAATACGCTCCTAAACTTCCATCTCATGTATCTACCTGCCTGCTGGACAGACTTCAAACTCAAGTGGTCCAAACGGAATCCTTCTCCTACACACTCCAAACCTGCTATTGTACACTTAAGAGTCTCAGAAACACTTTTGACCTATGCCAAAGGCCTGGCAGGCATCATCCTAAGTGCCTTCATCTCTTTACCAACTACCAAGTTCTGTCAAAATTGTTCTTAAATATTCTCTAATGCAGTGGTTCACAACCTTCCTAACACCGTGACCTTTAATACAGTCCCTCATGTTGTGGTGATCTCCAATCATAAAATTATTTTGCTTGCTACTTTATAGTTCTGCTACTGTTATGACTCATAATGTAAAAATCTTTGTTTTCCAGTGGTCTTAGGCAACCCCTGTGAAAGGTCATTCGACCCCCCCCCATGGGTCATGACCCACAGGTTGAGAACCATTGCTCCATTATATCCTGCCTGGTCCACCCTATCACCTCTGCCTGGATTCAAGCCTTCACTGGCTATCTCCTGCAACCTGTTTTCAACTGCCTAAACACACTTTTGTCTCATCCTCTAAATTCAGCTTTCACACCATGGAAGAAACAAATCTGACTATGCAGCTCCTTGTTTAAAACCTTTTGATGGTCCCAACTTTCATAATTACCCAAGTACCCTAACAGGATATAGAAGGCCCCCTATCACCTGACCCCAGCCTACTACTTTGAGCAGCTCCCCACCCCACCCCAAATTTACCATAACAAGATGAAACACTGTGCAATTTGGATTGTAATAACAAAATTATTTCCAGAATTCTCTACTGGAAGCATTCTCTCGCCTTGTAAAAAAAATGTTCCTCTACCTAAAACATCTCTCCTCTGGCGCACTCAACACTCCAAAAGGTCGCCCAAAGCCTAGTTTGAGCATTCTCTCCAGAAAGACTTCCCTCTGCTGCACTCACAGGCTGAGCCTCGGTTCCCACGGCACATTTCCATCACATCATCTACTGCACCGAAGAGAGTTGATTTCTCTCCGCAGACTGAGAAAATTCAGAGTATCTACTGCCCTTTGCCCTCTCTGAGTTTAGCGAACTGGGTAAGTTAGACCAGCAGACATATAGGCCAGCCCTGAACATCAAGACCACAATCAGTGAAAGTGCCAACTCTACAACTCCAAGCTGCTCAAGCTCCAAAGCCCACAACACTTGTAACACACAACTTGGGGTGACTTAAGCAGCGGGAAAGCCGGCGGTCATCACCTTGCTAGCAGAGAGAAAGCAGAGCACTCTGCCGTGTAAACAAGCTCTGGAGCTGTAGAACTGCTGTTAAATTTATGGTGCGGAGCTAGAATCCAGGGGTGTCTTAGAATCCCCTCCACACTGCTCTCTTGCAGTGTCTGAGCCAACCATGAAGTTCACAGCCAGCTAACCTTCCCATGCCAGCGGGCATCAAACTACCATACATACACTCATCTTAGGGACTTTAAAAAGGGTAGAGCCGAGTTCCCCTGTATGGACTGAACTGCAGTGTTGACAATGTGCCTGGGCATGTTCGCTTAAAAAATATTCTCCGTTGCTTTGACTTGCTTTTCTCACTAGACTTCCAAGGACGGCAGGCAGGGGCTCTGTGGGAGAGGTGGGAATCTCTTTAGGGTGTTGTACCCTTGCAAGGCTCTAGGGACTTGGACCTAACTAGGACAGCGAGAGAATGAAGAAAAGATAGACAGAAGGACGCTCAAACAGAAAGCTGGGATTGGGTGCTCCGGACTCTTGGAGGGAGAAACTGTAGCACTCCAGAAGCCCAGTGTGTTCACTGTCGAGTTGAAGAGAGAGGGAGGTGGCTTTATGTAATAACGTGGGTTATTACATATAGATAAACAAGGAGACAGGGCTATTATATACATCTGAACAAGCAGGCAGGCTTAGCTAATCTTGGTAACAAAGAACAGCCTCCATAGGCTGGCAGTCTTCAGGCCATAAACACCCAGAAGAGACTAAAGCCACAGCTGTACATTTTCCACACACTGTCAAAACTCGCACTGGATCTCCCTGGAAAGACTTTGCCATCCGTCTACACCTGAGGCTATGGTGTCTTTGGTGTGGCCACGCACATCAACAACACACATCCACTCAGGATGTCATTCATTCAAGGCTCCATCAGCTTCCTTCATTAGGGCTTTATCATGCGGCTAAATCAGAAGGAAACAGATCCTAAATTTGGGGGCAAACCTCCTAATATTTTGGTTTATAAACAGTACCTGTAAAGTCCTTTGCAATTCCTGGAAGCAAACAACAAGGAGAATCTCTAACGGCACGTCCTGGGGAACCCAGTTCAGGAAAGCTCTTACAACTAAACAACTGTAAAAGCCATTCCAGGAAGGCAGATGAACTGTGCCATACGTTTATATTACTTTCAGGCTGATTTATTCCTCTCTCTTTTATAACAGTTATTACTGATCACATTTGGAAACCACCAAGGGCGGATTTAAAATACCTAAGGTAAAAAGGGCATCTGACTGACACTAGAGACTTCCTCAACAAGAAAAATAACAATGACTCATTAGTTAAAACTGGGGGAGGGGATCGCCTCACGGCAAAACAGGGATGCCCTCATATCAGTAAGGGGACTCAGAGCCACCTGAGGTCTATGACGCTTCCGATTTGAGTGAAGTACTTTAAGGTGCTTTTTTGAGCCTTGATATCTAAAAAAATCTTCTCCAATAAGTAGTTACAGAATTCCTAATATCAGCCCTGTTGGTCATTTGCAATAACATTCTGCAAAGTTAAAAAGATGTCATCTCGCTCTCAAAGTTGATTTTCCCCGATTTCAAACCGTAGGCCTATGCTTACAACTGCTTACCTAACAAGCCCAGTCAAATCAAAACCGTTCTTAATCCAGGATTAGCCAAGAGGTCAAAAGTTTAACTTTGACCAGAATAACGCTGAACTTTTTTCTTGATCTTTATTGCTATAAAAATAATAGCAAGTACCTATGTGAAGAGTTAACAGCCATTAAATCCCTTGGCGGTAGGCAATGGCCCTATAAAGAGGGTTAGGTCTTTAAGAGGGTAGGGCCGGCACATCAATAATGAATAGTTCCTTGTAGTCGGGTACTTGAACTCTACAAAGAGAAACATGATAACACGAGGCACTGGTAACAACACAGTTGTTTTTGAGTCTGGTCCTGGGGCTCTTTGGGCCATTTTATGCCCAGGTGGCCCGGTTGTTAGTTTAACCACAAAGAGGCCGTTATCAGTTATAATTACAGCTGGGCAAGTTTCTTCAAATAAATGCCCCACCACCTGATCCTTGTCCACCCTTTGTAACGGCTACTTCACTAAACTAAGATATTAAAATCTCGGGTCACTTTAACGACACACTGATACCCTGTCGCCAGGAGCTGAAAAGAAGGGCACGGAACTTTGAAGGCGGATGAAAATGACCTAGTGGGCAGAAAGTCATTAAGTTCCAAAAGATAAAGGGAGTAAGCCAGGGTGGGCGGGCACACAAGGGTCCCACACTGAAAGCAGGGCGGGCTGAGTCCTGCCCTGGACTTAAAGCCAGGGGGGCTTTCACTGCCGTGATCCCTGCAGCAGGGATACGCTGGGCCGCGCGGCTGGGGTAACCGGGAGCGCCGTGCCCGGCCTGTACGAGGTCCCGGGTTCTAATCCCAGCAGAACCGAAGGGCACTGAGAACTTCAGCGCCAACTCGGGCGCACGGGCGCCGTGGCGGGGGCTGTCGGGCAGGCGCCGCGGACCCGGCCCACTTGCCGGGCTTTGGGCTTCGGTTCCAGAACGCTCGGGTTCAGACCCAGAGCGGCGCGGGCGGCCGTCAGGGCTCGGACGCAGCAGGAGGTGCGGGGCCCCGCCGGGCGCACACCCCGCCGCCGCCGCCGCCCCGAAGCCCGGGGATGCGCGCGTGGCGGGCTCGCTCTTACCATGGTGCGCGCGGCGGCCTCCCGGTTTGACTCTGGCGCCAACAGCCGCGTCGGGTGGGAAGGGCGGGAGGAAGTGCAGGGGGAGGTCGCAACGACCCCTGGCGGCCCTGAGAGGGCTGCAGGACCGGAGGGAGGAACCGGGCCGGGGCGGGGCCTGGGATGATAGGCAGGGCGGTGAGGGGCGGGACCTGGGAAATGTGAGCCGGGAGGGGGCGGAGCCTGAGGGGAGGGGCCGGGAGGGGAGGGGCCTGAGATGATGAGCAGGGCGGGGAGAGGAGGAGCCTGAGATGGGCAGGACCCGACTGAGACCCAAAGGACCTGCTGCTGGGTTGGGGAGCGTGAATGTGGAATGGAAAAGTCTTGGGCCCCGGGGTGCCGGCTGGGGTAGGGCAGGCTGCGGTGCCCTTCCGGTGCCTCTGGGTTTGCAGAGCTGCTTGCTACTGAAGTGTTCAATGTGGCTTTTGTTTTTCTTTTTAAAGGGCAAATTTGAGTCTTCGCTTTTAAGTGTGTGGGTTTTGTTTTTTGTTTTTTTTTGGCTTTAAAAAAATGGGGATTTGACTGCAGCAAGTGAGTACGTTTATAAAAGAAATTCTTTTTTTTTTTTTTTTTTAACTTTTCAAGACAGGGTTTCTCTGTGTAACCCAGGCTGCCCTGGAACTTGCTTTGTAGACCAAGTTGGCTTCGAATGAAAGGCGTGTGCCACTGCTCCTAGCCTTAAAAGGAATTCTTAGACACAGTGGTGCAGGTGCTCTGTATTGTGAGTGAATTGTAAGTATTCTGGGTCTACTGATTGTAAGAGTTTAGCAGACAGTAAATGGGGGCTTTCTAAATTATTTCTAACAACTGCTGGTGTCTGTCTCTCAGAGTTGCATTGAAATCTTAACTTCATAAGATGGGGTGAAGGTGAGTAGCAAAAATGTCCAAAGCTCCCACAAAGGAGAACAATAGTTGGGGGGGGCATATAATGAATATGTATCATACAAACCTGCTTGCCATATTCACACCGTGACAACAGACATAAGGAGGAGGTGACCCTGTCTGTCAGTTATATGGCATGGAGCTTCCATCACATAGATGTTATTAACACTTCCTAGGGCTCTTAATTTGCTCTGTATTTCAATTATTCTTTTGAGTTTTCCTTTTCAACCCTGGGATTCCAGGTCAGGGCTTTCTGACAGCAAGGGCTTTCTGTCACCCTATGCTCTTATTATTATCATCGTTATTGTTATTTTATTGAAAATAAGCTTTATTAGATCAAGTGAACGACTCTATACAGAGACAAGCAGTTTTAGTCATTTTCCTTTTGATCATTTTAAGGTAGAACTGAAATCTGTGTATAGTCTTAGTATGAAAGTTTTCCAGGTGTTTGTTGGGGTTGGTAGGTTGCTCTTCTATACACGTAATTTATGCATTTTTAAAGTCTGACTTCAGAGCACAGAGTCATTCAAATACTTGAGCAAAACGTCCATTAATTAGAACTTGCGTTGTATGGCAAACAGACCAGCGAATGAGTAAAATAGGCTGTGTTCAAGTTCCCAAAGTTGTGTGAGCTTCTGGAAAGAAACAAGACAATCTGAGTGCTCCACAGAGCAGGTAGGCAGGGGATCCTTGTCTCTGGAAGACAGTTTATAACTTCATGCATGCTTTAAAAGAACCTGAGTCAGTCCTAAGTACTTAAAATACAAATCCTTATAAACGAACTGCAAAATCCCCAATCTTTGGGATTATAGGTTCTGAGTCTGGTATACCATGGGAGGGAAAAGCTGAGGAGTTAACTGATTTGAAAACCAGAGTTTCACCCACACTAGAAGATGAGAGGTACTGTCTCATCAAAAATGGGAACCATCTGAGCTAACTAGGAGGCTAGAATCTGGCACCCCATTCTGTTTCAGCCAAACGGGCCCCAACAAGTTCTCAGGCCAAGTGATGTCTCCTTTCATTTCTCAGTGATGGTCTTGGCCCCTGCATAGGCTGGTCTGATCTCTCCCCCCCAATTATTCTGTGATGGCTAGCATGTCCACAGACTTACTCTGGCATACCTGGTATACCCTGGATGACACCTGGCAATGATGGCCCATAGCCATCAGCAGCTAGTGGTATCGGGAGGATGTTGCCATGCTAGTGGAACAGGGGCTTGGGATACTGGGCCCCCAGTGACACTAGAAGTCTGCTAGGCTTCTCCAAGCTCTCTAGCTTTTAACACCTAGACAAGTTGGCTAGGATGGCCAGGCAGCAAGTCCCAGGGTCTGCTTGTCTCCACCTCCCCAGGGCTGGGATTATAAATGCATAGCCCATTCCCAGCATTTCATATGGCTCTGCGGATGTAGGTCTTCACATCTGCAAAGCAAACACTTTCTCAGCTATCTCTTCAGACCCCTTTCCATGAACAAGGGGCTCTGTGTTTTCAACTCACACCAGACCCCATAAATAATGTAGCCAACATTATATTCGTTTGTCTCAAGCCCATAGACTAAGGAGTTGTTGTTGTTGTTTTAAGTGCTGGAGTGAATCCAGGGCTGTTGCTGTTCCCAAGCAACTAGAACAGTACCTGGGTATTCTGTTGGTCATAGCACACTTGCTAGTGTGCAAGTGTAACAATACTTGTAACATTCATCAACTGGACTGTGAGCTCCTGAATGGTACAGGTTCTATTGTTCATCTTTGTAGTCCTTCCACTTTGCTAAGTGGAAACTCTAGTGTGCTGTGCATGCTTAGACTGCAACGAGGCATAAAGACAATAGGGTGGTCAAAGACTGAATGTCTGTCTACCTGCCCTGCCCATCCCCTCACTTCTGCATGGACAAACTGCAGCTTTAACTGGACCCTGCTGCTCCCGAAAGGGTTGCAGCTGGCTTTATGTGATATGTGTTCCAAGTGAACAACAGTCTAAGGTACCAGATGATGGGAGGTGTTCCTCTCTAAGTCTGGTAGACGCCAAAGAGCCCTTGATGGCCACGGGACCTGCTTGGAGGAGAGAGAAAGTAACAGGTGGGACACAGGAGCCCCAGGGCAAGCTGAAAGCCAGCCTGATCTTCATGGTGAATTCCAGACCAGCCAGAGCAAAACAGCAAGACCTTGCCTCAAAATAACCCAAACAACAATAATAAAAAAGTGAAGAACAGAGATGGGAATTAATAAAACAAATATTATTATGTAATCAGCAGCCAGGGATGCCAGTTTGGGTCTTTATTCTAACTTCTATTTCTTTATCTCTCCTTGTAAGGCTAACTTGGGCCACCTCTTTCAGAGTTCCAATCTGTTCTGAAATAGAAAACGTTTGAACATGACAACTTGCACACAGAGACATTGTCTGAAAAGTATTTTCTTGAATTTGAGGATTGTGGTAAAAAGCTTCTTTGAGAAGATTAGGCATGTACATGTATCATCAAGCTCCCCAACACTGGACTCCCCAAGGATGGTGATATACTCTAGATGGTTCTATGGTTTGAAGTATACATCCAGTAGTTTGATATAATACAGATTTTTTTACTATGATGAACGCTGTGTAAATAAATTCTTGTTGTGAGAAGTAATACTTGTAGTGAGGTCCCTCTTGAGTCACTGACCCTTGGAAGTTTCTGCCATGACCAGGAAAAGGCCATCTTATCTTGAAATTCTTTGAGGATTATAAGGACAACAATTCTAAGTAAACACACTGCCCACTGTGTCAGGATTTCCCCAACTCGTCAGCTTTTTTTTTTTCCTTCTAGTCCAAACAGTTTAGTCGAGGTATAGCAGTCTTCTACATGATACGTTCCCCATCCCCCTCCACTCAGGGAGCAATCTGTTAAATGAATATTCAGTCTGAAAATGGAGAAAACAAGCTTTATTATAATGATTTGAGATTTTTGTGCATGGTAACGATATACACACGACTCTTGTTTCTCCTATGTTTCAAGACAGAATTAATTTAAAGTTTTATTATAGACTAAAGCATCCAAAATACTGTGGTACGTATGTAGCTACGAACATACAAACACATTGATGCACAGCGTCCATTCTTCTGTTTAAATAGGCAGTCAGCATTCGGATTCATAAAAGAACATATGAGGAGGCTATATCATTAATGGATGGCAAAGAGCACAAGACCAGTGTCCTATACACAAAATGTATGAAACAGATCTGTAAAGGTGGAATGTACAAAATCTTCAAAGAAACAAAAGGGAAATGAACAGCCTTCATACTCATGGGCAGGCTCGGAAGGCTGCACAGTTGGGAATGATCGAAAGAATGTTAGGAGCGCATACTTGGTTGACACAACATCCCATGTTGTAAAGCAAAAGCGTCGAGGTTAAGGCTGTGTCGCTTTCAAAAGTTAATGGAAGTGCTGTACATTCATTGGAACAACATAGCTGATTATTAATCTCTTCTAGAATATCAATGAATAGCATCCACACATTCTCCACAAACAGACCACACAATCAGCTACCACACAGTACATCATTAGAAAGTGTTTTGAAGATTAGCTTCGTGATTTGTAGCTTACTGTCATTTTTAAAACAAAACCAAAAAAAAAGCATTTATTTATACCAAACAAATTTTTAATGGGCACTTCGTTTCCTTTATGGCAATACTAGATTCCTAGTTATCAAAAATATTAAAATAATTGTAAATTTTAAAACCCTGCAACATTTACAGAAAGTAACGGTATTAGGACTTTATCGATTTTAAGGGGAATTAGATAAGGTTTGCATCAGAAAGCTTCAACTTTATCCTACTTGGAAAGGTCTTGTTTTAAAAATACTCACCAAAAACTTCCCTCTTCCCTTTTCAGGAGCTGGTGAATAGAGAGGCTGTCATAGAGTCAGAATGCACACCGGGACTTTTCCCATTTGAAGTGGTCTACAGATGACCTGGTGCTGGTCTGCTCTCTCCAGTTTCCTCCGTAGGTATTACCAAAGCATTTATGCTAACCCTTTCGAGTGAGGCTCCATATACCTGGTAACGTACTGCTCTTCCAGTTCCTTCCCTGTGAGGACTTACATACCCTGTACACGTAGTGGGAGCAGGTATGCAGCAAGTGCATGGACCAGGCGTACTTATTGCCTCAAATTTTGTCACGTTTAGGAGACTCAGGGGCTTGTTTAGTCGTGGAGACTAAAGTTTCATCAAAATCTTACACGTCGTTAAAAAACTGACACACAGTCCTAAAGGCTTTCTAGTAGTGTGTTTCTGGATGGTCAAGTGACTCCCTACCACCCCGTGTCCAGCAGGGGAGGTTTATGTTGGAGAAGACACACTGTCATTAACCTATAAAACCTAACTGAAGCTATTTTTGTCCTTAGTGCCCAAGGGAAATTTGAATGCTTATTTTCTCCGTGCTATGTATCATGAGTGTGTAACGGGTTCTATACAGTTGGCAGAGATAAATAACAGTAACAGCAGCCTAGAACAAAAAAAGCCACTTAGTCCTAATAATCCTTCTTAGTTTACCAGAAACCATTCCCATCAAACGAGACAAGATTTCATTTCGATCTTGTCTATTTGTGTCTTAGCAGCAGCACTTTCCCCCAAAAAGTATGCTTACCATGAAGAAATACAGTAAGTGCACACACATACCCAAATGCAGAATGTAGTGTTTGCTGGAGTGCCCACAGCGGGTGCTTTAGTAGCCGATGGTGAAACAGATCTAAATTAAATGTTCTTTCATTCCAGTTTGTACCAATATTCATGTATTTAAAAGACACCTTAATTTGTATTATTTCCTACTGAGATACCAAGCCTGATATGATATTTTATATATGAGACTGATTGGTTTATGAGTTAATTTCTCAGGTCACAAATAGCTCAGTGTTGCACAAAAAAAAACTCATTCCGTAAATTCATTTTCAAATTAATAGTTGCAATCTGAAGGCACATGTCAGTTGTAGAGCATGTGCCTAGCATGTCTGAGGCCCTGGATTCCATTCCAAGAAAAACAAACAAACAAACAAACCTGTGGCAAACTCTTTGAAAAAATGTTTTCTGCTTGTGAAAATTAACTAAAATTAATTTACTCATAAAAAAAAAACCCTTTCTTTTAAATAGCCCAGAAATAATCTGCAGGTAGACTATTAATAAACAGCACTACAAAATCCCCTCGCCAGAATATAAGCTGTAAGAGGACAGAGATGCCTGTCTCTCTCACACATTCCTCAGGTCCCAGTGCCTAGATGCATTCTTGGCCCCTGGTAGGAAGTCTGTAGATACAAATATTGAAGTTCATGCTGAATACTTGGGCTGCAGGAGCAGCCTAGCTATAGAGCTCTTGCTTAAGTATTTCTGAGGCCAAGGGTTCCATCCCCAAAATGAAGAAAAAAAAAATTAAAACATAAACTCAAAGGCTTATTCCATGGTATTCAGAAGCAGTCTTAATTTATCACTTCTTAAACTGGTATTGAATTTTATGTCTAATCTCAGACAGGCTTGAATTTTTAAAACTCTACAGAACTAAAATAATAACAAGCTAAATCCAAATGTAAGTCTTCTGAAAATAAAGTCCGTCCGTCCCCCAGATGTTGATGTGGACATAATAAATTAAATAGATCATTGGAGGTAGCTAGATTTCCCGTCTAAATTTTGTAACACTCCTGTATCAAGAACATTAGAATTTTAAGATAACAAGCCATAAACACCGTCATATGTATGTAAGGGAAGTGTTTTCTTACAGTAAATATCTAAGGTGCTTTCAATGAAAGAAATCCCAAAGCCATCATCAAACACATCAAACACAACTTTCCTGTTTGGTAGAACTGAGTAGAAAAATCCGTCAGTGGAAACAGACCATGTCTTATTTTATAGTATCCATGACAGGTAATGTTTCTCAAAAAATGCATTTATACTTAAAGGTAACTCAAACTCAGTTTTTCAAGACGTCTTTTTCTTTTGTCTTTCTTCCTTTTTTTTTCTTTCTTTCTTTCTTTCTTTCTTTTTTTTTTTTTTTGAAAGCAAAAGAAGGCCATTTGCTGCCTGGAAGGCGGGCATCACCATCATGCTGGAAAGTGGCAACGTTTACACTCGCTGTGGGGCTCCTTTCGCAAGGACGGCTTCAGATTGCAGCAGCCAGGGAATGTGCTGAAGGATGACTGGGCAATGCTTCTGTCTGTCAGAGTGCTGCCCATTTCCACACACCAAGGATTCAACTATATATATATATAGACTTATATAATATGTATAATACATTTCTATCTTACCCTAACCATGTATACTTGTCCCTTAATGCCTCTACTATTCATTAAACAATGATAAATAACCATAACATGCCCATACCTGTAATGCTCAACAGAACTTTGGTAACACTTGCTCTCTAAGGGGAAATCATTAATCAATCACATGCCTTTGGTTCACACCATCTTGTCCTCCAAAGGGCTGCTTATGGCTCTCTGTCCTAGGACACTGGCGTCCGACTACATGTGCTGACATTCTGCAGGAGGTAAAGCTTTCGCTTTCGTGATGTGGAAGAGGAAAGACATGTGAACACATGGCGCATGAACATGAGTTCTCTTGGTTACATTCCAGTGTGTGGATCTGAGGCTAGCAACCAAAGGGTCCCCCTTGCTTTTGCCATATGCCTTCCAAAGCATCGGGAATTTCAGGCTTTCCTGAAAATATATTTCATTTTCTGATGCAAGGTGAGCAGAAAGAGAAGGTAAGGAGAACACACAAAAAAAGATCTTTGATCAAACCCAGAAAGGTTGGGAAATTTGCATTGATTCTGATGGGCTCAACTCAAGAGGGCCCTGAGTCAGAGCTGGGAGGATCTTGCAAGACAGCCTTAGAGTTTTCTAAAGTCATTTATATATGGTTGTTGATAACCCAAAACAAAAAATGTCATCAGAGTAATAACATCTACTGTAAAAGTGAGGTTAGAAGGTCCCTTGGGTCTTGTGACCGAAGTTAAATAAAATAGGTAACTACAAGTTTTGTTCTTGGAAGCTCGATGCAAAGGCTTACCATTCATTCACTGGTCAACAGATATGCTAATTCTTTTTAATGTCTGATTTGCAAAATTAGTTTAACTACATAAATCCCTGTCCTATGAGCCATAGTTCACAGGTGTAAAACTTTGCAGTTTGTATAGATTCAATAGAAGAGATTCTTTTTAAATCCTAAAAGTGAATTACGGAAATTGGATAAGCAGTTTTTAAGGAAATTGTTACATTCAGAAATAACCTTGGAAAGTTCACCAGAGGTTCTTCCTAGTATGAAAAGTCCTATTGTAATCTGGTCCCACATTGAAAACTCTGTTCCAGTTTCTAGTGCAAGACCTCAGTGCAGGGCTGTCCGCTGTTACTGTAAGTACCGATAGACCTTGAAACAGTGGTTTCCAGAGTCTGCAACCACAACATGGCCATCTGAAGTTAGGGCCAGGCCTTGGGGGCCGTAGAGGGGGTCAGCTGATGTGTTGATATAGGACAAAAACGATCCACTCCCATCAAAAACCTGCACAAACACAAAATCGGAGCATCATGAAAGTTACACATGCCAAAGAACGTGCATTTAAAAAGCATGTAAAGAACCTTCTGGGTTTGTCCAGGCTGCTGCACACACACACAATATTTGATGGTTAACCTTGGTTGTTTATTTGGTTGGATCTGGAAACAGCTATGAGATGGCTTCTGGGAACATCCGTAAGTATATTTCCTGAAAAGTTTAGCTGGGGTGGAGGGGAGGATGTAACTCTCCCTCAGCATGAGCAGCAGCACCTCCTGCTGGTGGCATAGGCAATAAAGAGGTCTGAGAGAGAAGTTACTGCTTCTGCTCTGGCTGGTAAGTGCATCTACCTCGTTGTCGCGGCCACCGCCTCTGCTCACATTGGAACTCAGCTTCTTTTTTGTTTTTTAATTTTTGTTTTTGAGACAGGGTTTCTCTGTGTAGCTTTGACTGTCCTGGAACCCACTCTGTAGACCAGGCTGGCCTCAAACTCAGAGATCCTCCTGCCTCTGCTTCCTGACTGCTGGGTTTAAAGGCGTGTGCCACCATTGCCCAGCTGGAACCCAGCTTCTTGAGCCTTCCAGCACAGGCTGAAGAAGACCTGAGGGTCTCTTAGAATCTTAGAATCCTCTAGGCCAGTGGTTCTCAACCTTCCTAATGCCGCGACCCTTTAATATAGTTCCTCGTGTTGGGGTGACCTCCAACTATAAAATTATTTAATTGATACTTCATAGCTATAATTTTGCTACTGTTATGAATAATAATATAAATATCTGATATGCAGGATATCCGATATCTGACCTTCAAAGAGGTCTCGACCCACAGGTTCAGAACTACTGCTGCAGGGTCTAGAATAGGCCCTAGTTGCCAGATTGGGACCGCTGAGGCAGCGGCCTGGTAGACTAAGAAGGCTACCATTTCTTGGTCTCTCTAACATACATACGACTATGGCTGGACTCACCCACCTGAGGCATGGAATCCAATGTAATAAGTCCCTTTGTGACATGCACTCAATGCATGTGCTCTGTCCTCGTGAGGACCCTAGCACACAACCTTTGGCTCCGTTTACATTTCTCTTGTTTTCTCCCCTGCTCCCTCCGTGACTGGAGTCACTGACATAGAACTTGTGGGTTGTACATCTTATATTACTATAGCGGTCACGTGTGCAATGACAAAACCGAGATTTCACTTTCCCTTGTTGAAGTCTATAGTTCACTGTGCCCATCTGTGGAGGCAACAGCTTAAAGTTGCCTAGCTCTGAGAGTCCATGTGGTTCTGCTGTGTTGAAGTAATAGGCACAGATCAACCTACAACATTTCCTCTTTTACAAGTTCCCAGGTTGGCTTCTTTGGACCACTATGTTTGGCCCACTTGGAGTTTTAAGAAGCAATGTAAATAGGCAGATGCCATGAGGCCACAAAACACAAACAGCATTGGTGGACCTTTGTAACTTGCCTAGCTCCTGACTTTTAAAGTATCGGACTCTCCTACCCACCAGGATGAGAACAATGATAGAGATTTCATGAGTCACTCTCTCTTTTGAGACAGGGTCTCATGTAGTCCAGGCTAGCCCCAAACTTGTTATGTATTCAAAGATGACCCTAAGTTGCTGACCTTCCTGTCTCAACCTCCCATGTCAACGCCACCATGCTTACTCAGTCCTGGGAATTGAACTCAGGGCCTTGTGCATACTAGACAAGCATTCTACCAACTGAGCTACATACATCTTCATCCCAGAATGTCTCTTTTAATACAGAATTCTGTTCGGGTAATTAAGCAGTACGTATGTGTATATATATATATGAAATAAAAGCATGTTGCATCATACTGATACTCTCAATTATTTTCTTTCAACTGTGTGTTACACAGGGATTCATAGCCAGCTTTGGTTACATAGTGAAACTATGTCTCAAAGAAAAGGAAAACTATAATATAGTAATTATATGTGTAGTATACCCATGTATATATTTGGTTTGAAGTCAGTCAAGCTGGGCTTGAGCTCTCTACATAGAGGAAAACAACCTGAACTTCTCCTTTCTTCCTCTGCCTCCCAAGTGCTGGGATTAAAGGCGTGCGCCACCACCGCCTGGCAATTACTACTTGTTGCCTGTGTTCACAATTAAGAAAAATAAGTCTTCACTTTCAGATTAGTAAAACATCCAAGCAGTACTTTTGTGTTCAAAGGCTCTCTTGAATCCTATCTATGAGCCCTTTAGGGGTCTGAGGAGAACAACATTCAAACCAAAAAAATAGCACCGAATTAGAGAATTCTACACTAATGATGTCACCTTCCGTCTACCTTTCCATTGAGAGTGTTCGGTCCTTCACATGAGATTATCTACAGTGTTATGACTTAACCAAGGAGGAAGAACATCCTAGGTCCTGGGATGGGCAACTTTTCACTGTTAACCATGTGGCCATCTGCACTCCTTAGCATCTAATGTACCTGGATCCTGCTGTTGCCCCAGTCCGCCACAATGATGTTTCCATTCGAGTCCACCGCTACTCCTGTTGGCGCATTAAACTGCCCGTTTCCTTCTCCATTGGAGCCGAACTTCAACATGAATTCTCCTTCCTGATTAAATACCTGTACGAAATATCGAAAGACTCTTTTATTTAAAATAGCTGACCCCAACCGTATTGTTTAAAAAATAGCCATCTGAACAAGCTATTTATAACAGGTCCTGTGACATGAGAAGTCTGAGAAAAGTGGTCTATAGACTAGACTCCTGTCACTTGTGGTTCCCAAATCATATGTAATCTCATTTATTATTTATTAAACAACTCTTATTTTTTTCTGCCATTTACAATTGGTTACTAAGTATTTGTATTATTTTTATAAATTACAAGATACTATAAAAATATAAGCTATTATGAAGAGATCTGGAAATATTTATTTTTAAACAATACTAAATATTATTCTATTTTCAAATAAGTAGCTTTATTGACTGAATAAATAAAAATTCAAGAATAGATACTACATCTCTACAGAAGAGATTGTTATTCAGTTTGGATAAAGTTTTTGTTAGGCCAAATATTCATGATTTATTATCGTTTTACTATAGCAACATAATGTCGTACTTAGAATGCAGGCATTTATGTGTGTCAATGTGTGCACAAATATACAATGGCCATGGGTGAAGAATAACAAGGATCTATTTCAGAAGGTATTCTAGTTAAAATGGAGAGTTTATAAATTCTAAAGCCACCACGATTAGAACCAACAGAGGCTATTCCAAGTACAGGATAAACAGAACTCTTAAGGAAATGGTCTCGTGCCTGGTGTGATTATCACTGGGTTACTGTGGTTTACTGAATGTTCTTTTTTTTTAGGGGGAGGTGTGTGTGTGTGTGTGTGTGTGTGTGTGTGTGTGTGTGTGTGTGTGTCTGTGGTTTTTCAAGACATGGTTTCTCTGTGTAACATCCTTGGCCGTCCTGGAACTCACTTTGTAGCTCAGGCTGATCTCAAACTCACAGAGATCCTCCTACCTCTGCCTCCCGAGTGCTGGGATTAAAGGTGTGCACCACCACACTCGGCTTTACTGAATGTTCTTATTACTAGTGATATGCTATACCTATCAAATAATAATAACATTGAACACATTTAATTAAATACACTAATGTATTTAATGACAACACTATAGTAAACAATTTCATCTTGATGTTTCAGATGGTACTTAATGGCTCTGAAATATTCCTGGGATGTTATTGTAAATATCCATTATGGTGATGCTTAGATGTATGAACGTATTAACTTACAAATCAAGAAGTGTTATGGGGGCTGGAGAGATGGCTCAGAGGTCAAGAGCACTGGCTGCTCTTCCAGAGGTCCTGAGTTCAATTCCCAGCAACCACATGGTGGCTCACAACCATTTATAATGAGATCTGGTGCCCTCTCCTGGCATGAAGGCACACATGCAGTCAGAATACTGTATACATATAAATAAATAAATCTTTAAAAAAACAAACAAACAAAAAAAGAAGTGTTATGGTCAGGGCACCTTTAAAGTAAAGGTTGCTCACACTTGGACCTCAGGAGGTTCACAGCTCTGAGCACAGACCTGATCTGAGGATGACCTTAGAGTCGTCTTTGGCTCCTTAGAAACAAGCACAGCCAGCTCTTGCTAACACGCTAGGTTACAAATGCCAGGGTAGGCTGGGTATGCAGCAGGACAGCTAAGTGGCACAGCACTTGCCTAGCATGTATGGAAACCTGAGCTTTATCTTCAGCAATAAGAAAAAAGAAGGAAAGAAATGAGAGAGGGAATGGAGGGGGGCAGGAAAGACGGGGGAGAAGGGATAGGAAAAAGAGGAAGTGTTGAAAAGGCTTCCTCGATTCTTAGTCACGTAGCCATTTTTACACAATGCTGTAGCTTTAAATACAATGAGCAGGTGTTTGTGTTGGTGAAGACACTGTTATCCTATGCTCCTTCCTTTATTGATTTCTGCACGTGATCTTGGTGGTCCTTGCTTGCTTTTTTGACCCGGCATATTTTTCTTGGCACAGGTGCATCTACTTTATATTGGGATAAAGAATGCTTTATTTCTGTTGTTTGTTTGACTTTTGTGTGTGTGTGTTCATTGAAGACAGGCTAGCTTCATATGTAGCCCAGGCTAGCTTCAAGTTTCCGACCCTTCCTGCTCCTGCCAACCCCTCTGCCTTCACCTCGAGAGTGCTGGGAATTGCAGGGCATGCACACCGTGCCTATCAGGCTTAGTTGTCTTGTGATTAAAACAAAATCCTTGCGGTACCTCAGCTCCTCTGCATTTTGCTTTCCTCGGTCGGCCTTAGCTACCTGTAACTGTGGCAGGGAAGGAAGTGGGAAATTCCAGAAATAAATCACAGTTTCAAGTAGCGCCTACAGCAGGCTGCTGTTACAACTGTTCTATTTTATAATTAGCTATCACTGTTAATTGCGGCTATTGGACCTCATATGTGTCTTCAGAGGTCCCTGTGTTGAAGGCCCCCTCCCCCACATGCAGGGATGCTTGCTCAGAAGTGGACTTTCCAGGAAGTGAGTGGATCCTAACGCTCAGACCTCATCAATGGACTAATTTGCTGACGGGTTCATTACTGAATGGACTAGTAGGAGGTGGCAGAAACTGAAGGCAGCCTGGCCTGTCGGGAGGAAGTAGGTTACAGAGGCGTGCTCTTGGAGGACAGAACTTATCCCTAGGCTCTGCCTCAGCCTCTCTGCAGCTTTGTTTCTGCAGGTGACTATGACCGAAACTCTGAGACCATGAACTGAAGGACACCTTTGCTTGAAGTTGTTATTCTGTGGTATTTTATCACAGCAAGAGAAAGCTGACACAATTGCTTTTTGTATCGTATTTATGAATTAAACTTTATCACAAGTATGCATGCACAGGAAAAATATAGTATCTATAGAATCCCGACTGTTTGTGGCTATCTGTGACTTCATATCCACTAGAGGTCTTAGAATGTATCCCCCCAATTACATTGTAGAGCAGGTTGCTAAAAAATATTTAAAAAAAAACTATAGTAGACTACTTATTAACTCTGATTTATAGATTTACATTTACTAAGCAAGAATCACCTGAATTGGGGCTACTGTTAACTGCTCTAACATGGGAAACTGAACCCACACATCCATGCAACAGCTGTCAGAGAGAAAAAAATAAAGCAAATTTTTTGCTATGATGCTCTTAAGATGAAAAGTGAGCTTAAATAATTATAGTAGCACCTCTATATCCTGAAACTATCACTTCTAGAACTTTAATAGTTACAAACATTTTATAGTTTATGCTTCCCAGCTTATGTCATTTAGTTACTCACACATTTCTCGGAAGAAGGCAGTCTAAGAGCTGAAAAAATTTTTATGGCTTTGCTTTTTGTATGTGGATGAAGTTGTAGTTTAATAACATTGGCATCATTTTTTTTAAAGATTAATTTATTTATTATGTATATAGAAGAGTGTGCCAGAGCTCATTACAGATGGTTGTGAGCCACCATGTGGGTGCTGGGAATTGAACTCAGGTCCTCTGGAACAGTAGTCGGTGCTCTTAACCTCTGAGCCATCCCTCCAGCCAGGCATTAATTCTTTCCTGATCTCAAAATCCTGCTCCTGCTGACTATCACCCCCACTTCAAAGTTTCCCCTAACCGTCATGAACTGTGGTTCCTTCATCTTGGTGCAGGGGATTGAACCCAGCACCTGTAACATGATAAGCATGTACTGTACCCTGCAGCTGCATCCCCCAGGCCTCAGGAAATCTCCTCCTTCTGGAAATACAATGCACTACTGCCGCCATTTCTGTGCATTTCCCGCGTCGCTACCTGCCTTGCAGTTTGGTTACTTAAAGGGTTTTCTTTCTTTCTGGAGTCAGTCAAGGCTGATAACTAGGAGTCCTTCCACATCCTGAGACCAGGCCGGTTTACACAGGCTCCCTGGAGCAATGGGCAGGCAAAGCTTTGAGGCCACTGTGGGGCTCAAACAAGAGTTGTGTGCATCATTTCCAACTAGACCCATTTCTCTGTGAGAGCAGCTCAGAGTTAACGAGTTAACGCTGAACAGTACCTTGACAGAATGATTGTGGAAATCGGTAACGATGATCTCATTATTGCTATTGACAGCGGCAAAATGGGGACCTGCAATAAAATAGGGGTGGGGGGAAACACATGAGGGTCCCAACAGCAAAGATGATTCCAACACAGCGGGTGCTGCAATGCAGCACAGGGTGAACACATTGACGTAATTAAGAAAGGGCAAGGAACCGGAGTCCCAATCCCCGGACAAGCACTCAGCCAGACATCCAGCCCCAGGGAAGCGGGGTTCTGCACGCTTCTAGACCTGTGACTGTCCGCTCTGGCCTCTCCCCACCAAGGGCCTAAGTGGGGCAGCCCTAAGGAAGTAGGATAAACAGGAAGTATCCTCGACCTTTCTCTGTACCACCCTCTGTAAGCCATACCCACTACCTCTTGCTTTTTGCTAAGCGAGGGAGTCCTACAAAGAAAAACATGGTCATTCTCAGCTCTGGGAAAGAGGCTCCAAAATATAATTTTTCTACTGGGGGGGGGGGAATGAGGCGAAAATCTGCATTGTATAATACTGAGTGACTGTTCAGAATCTGGGCCAGACAAAGGAGAGACTAAACCCACGGAGAGAAGATGCCAGCCAATGCGAAATCCCCGCAAGCATCCTTTGAAAAGGAAAATCAATGGACTGTGCTCAGCCTTTTCGTGCAGATGTGCACATCCAAAAAGCTTGTGATTGCAAAGTTGCACAGAGCGAAGTAAAAAAGATTGTCTTCGCTGCTCTCAGCAAAGAGTCCACGCTCCCGTCCTCCTATAGTAACCAGCAAAGGGGAAATAAAGCCCATCCTGAGACTCATTAAAGGAAACTGCAGCCATAGGAAACAGCCACTCGCTGTTCTTCAAACACCTGTGTTTTAAAAAAATAGTTTATTTTAAAATGTACTATCTTACTTAATACACATATTTGAAAATCCAGTGTCTGCTGTGTGAAGAGCAATCGGTAAAAGATCGTACAAAGGTTGTACTCTGGACTGAGCCTTCTCAGGACAACTGGGAAGTGTCTACCTTGCTTCCGCTTTGGTCCCACCCCCAGAATTCTCCCCCAAAGCCAGCACGCACACCGGGGACGGGGCATCTTCAACATGCTCAAGTATCATGCAAGTGTGAGCAAAAGAGGCATAGAAAAGGGGGTTTACATATTACCATCGAGTGTACCTGCAAACTGCCTGTCCCCATTTCCTCGGCTACCAAACCTGGTGACTATCTTCCCGTTCGGCTGGAAGATGAACACGCAGCACGCCTTGTTGTCCACCACAATAATGTGTCCGTTGCGGTCCACAGAGACTCCTTTGGGCCCCATCAGTTTTCCCGATCCAATTTTTGTCTGTTAGAAACAAGTGCAGAAACTGAATATGGACGTCGAAGTTCAAAGCATTACCGAACCAACCTGAAGCTAGTTAGTTGTTATCTTAGAAAATCGTTTGCTCGAATGTTCTCAGTACCGCGTAGAACAATGTTATCTCCGTCCCAGAACATCTGCTACTGGCATTTATATAAAACTTTTTTTTTTTTTTTTTTAATTTTTCGAGACAGGGTTTCTCTGTATAGCTTTGTGCCTTGCGCCTTTCCTGGATCTCGCTCTGTAGACCAGGCTGGCCTCGAACTCACAGAGATCCACCTGGCTCTGTCTCCCGAGTGCTGGGATTAAAGGCGTGCGCTGCCGCCACCACCGCCCGGCTATAAAGCCTTATTTTTAAGAAGCATTTGCCACCAAACTTGGGCCACAGTACCCTTCTAAATGGACAGTTGGTGAAAGATCACATGTCTAGAGAAAGACATGTTTGCTCCTGCTGCTTGCTTCCAGCACATCTGAAGTTGCACTGATAGATTTCCTCACTCTCTTTAACCTTAAGATTCCTGATATTTTTTCTAAAAAGTTTTTAAAAGCACCTTTAATAATATCCAATGTCATTTTAGAAACAAATATAAATAAAATAATGTCAAAGGTTTAGTGTAAGCGAAGTAATAGCAAACAGTCACCAGAGGCCACCACTACTGCTGTTAGATATCACGGTCATTACTAAAATCTCAGGCATGTGCCATTAAATCTTAGGAGAATTAAGTTCTACATGGTTGGAAGTCACATCTATTCCATCCACCACGGTGTAGTCAAAGCCTGCCACACTCACTGGTGCATAAATGGTACTCGACAAATATTTGTTTAGCGCATTAAAAAACAAAAGTCTGGAATTATTTATAAGCTAACCTAATTATGGCTATTAAGTGTGTGTGTGTGTGGGGGGGGGGTACATGTGTGTAGAGGCCAGAGGTCAACTTTGGGTGTCGTTCACCAAGAGACATACACCTTGTGTTTTGAGGCAGAGTCTCTCATTGGCTTATAGCTTGCTAGCCAGGCAGGTTGGCTGGCCAGGGATCTCCTGGGATCTGCCCTTCCCAGCCTCGCCAGCACACATTTATCATCCAGCATTTGTGTTTTGGTGATCAAACTCAGGCTCCCATGCCTACATAACAAACGCTTTACAGACGGAGCCATCTCCCCAGTTACCCAGTCATGACTGCACCCTCCCATTTTCATGGTGCTTAGTAGGGGGAGCAAAGCGTTCGTTTTTTTTTGTTTGTTTGTTTGTTTTTGTTTTTGCTCTTTTAACCAACCATATGCTTGCATACACTTTAGTTCTGTATTTGTTGATTCAACTGTCAGAACACGGTCAAAAGAACAATCCACGTTGAACAACACCTTGGGGAACTGTGAGGAGAGGCTCCAGGAAAAAAAGGCAGAGGGCCTTTTACCTCAGGTGCATTTTGTTCCCTGGATTGTTCTTGGACGTGATTTCGTGTCTCCTGTGACAAACATTTACATTTTCAATTTATATGTTTATTCTTGTTGGATGTCAGAACACAGCTATAGAACCCAACCTGGTCAGCGTAGCCTGAATCTGGATATGGCCTTCTGCCTTGCTTTTATGCTTTCCCAGATATAATCTGTAGTACGTTCCAGGCAATTGTGTTTAAAGTGGTCTGTCCTGAGTTTTTGAGTGTTTTGCCTACATGTATGTCTGTGCATCATGTGTGTGCTCGGTGACCTCGGAGGTCAGAAGAAGGCATGGGATCCCCTGGAACTGCAGTTACAGAGAGTTGTGAGGCACGTGTGAGTTCTGGGCTCTCTATAAGAGCAACAAATGCTTCATCCACTGAACTGTGTCTCCAGCCTCCACGTATGTGTTCTTAATTTCCTTATACAGCGATGGCGTTTTCTCGGAATCGGACTTTTCAGGTGAATCTTTATTCTTCCAAGTTTACAAAATGATGGAGAATCAGGTGTGACCTCCTTAGAGCAGAGACACCAGTACTTTGAAAGGAAACATCTTGTCTTAAGCCAGGGAATGCCTTGTGTAAGTTTGGTTCCGATGCTGCAATGGAGCCCAAGGATCAAAGCGTCTTTAACATAATGGCATGTAAGGAAATTGCTCACGTTCTTTCAAGTCTGAAAGGAAGGGATCCTACGAGATCAAAAGGAGAGCTGGCACTCTCTTCATCACTGCCTAATAGGACTGCTACTTAACATTATAAACAACAGCAGTTACTTAGAATGACTCAACCACATAATACCAAGTGGATAATTATCTCGGATGAAAACAGAAGCCAAAGGATTATCTTAGTTCTACCAGAGGACGCCGACTGGGCAGATCTACAAGCACAACTCAAAGCTGAAACCGAAAGTCCCTTTCTGCCACCTCCCACTACTGTTTCCAACTCAGCTGCACTGAATTCTACCAAGTTAAACAAGGAGCCATGCATTTGGCCTCCCTGTGTTTCCTCTCTATCTTAGAGTAGGAAGAAACATAGTTCAGATTTGGGCATTAGACAGTTAAAAGAGAGCACTTAACCCAATGAATGGCTTGCAAGTTGAAGAGGAGAAAGCTGAGACATTTTAGAGTACAGTACCCATAAAGGTCACCATATTTGTGTTTATATATATTTTTTTTTTTCTGATTACAAAAGACTCCCAGATGGGCTGGAAGGTATAAGCCACGAGGGAACATGAAAGAGAAGACATTAAAGGAGACAGAGAGTGATAAATATTAGACTACAAGACAGATGTCTATAAAAAACGGTAGTAAGATGTTACACATTGGAGATAATTAGGAAGAAATACATAAAGACTGCGGCGGTAAAAGGTAAGACAGTTACTCTGCTGATTTCACTAAGTCCCATTAAAGAAGCAAAAGTAATAATCTCTGGATTATTGTAGCCTGCATACCTGGATGAACTTTTTTTACAGTGTTTTTTTTAACTCAAGTGTTTGCATGTGCTATCCCTTCACCTTAATGGGTTCTAATCAACATCTGTCCTGAAAAGGTTCTTGCAGCAATAGGCAACATCCTCCCCTCTGTCCTCTAGGGGGCAGCAGTGCTCCACAGTGTGTACTGCACTGACTGCCAGCAGTGCCCAACTCTAAGCCCAGTTCTTCCAAGTATTTATTGTAAGTATTGAAATATCAAGTCGTGTGTGAGGCATCCCCATCAGGGAGTCTTTCTCTCTTAGCTAGAAAACGCTTGCTTAGTACGCAAAAGCTGCTGCAGCATTGGCTGCAATGTACAGATCGATACTCATTTTGCTGGAGGATGAAACAAGAATAAGCAGGTTTTCTCCAAACTAGAGGACTTCTGAGAAGACAGCCACCGGTTTTCTTCATATTCCTACCAGAGCCGTCACATTTGGGTGTTTGGAAGACACAGAAAGGTGAGAGAGCTTTCTGTACACATGACTGTTATATGGGGCTATTTCCAGCGGAGCCAAACGTTCAGGGTCTACTCAATACCCATGCTCAGTGTTAACAAGGACAGTCATTTATTTGCCTCACATAAAACAAAGGCTCTAATCTGAGAGTAAAAACATATGTCACTCATCTCATAAATATTATCTCATCAATGTCGTGAGATGATTGGGGCAATCCAAAGACTTCAAATGCCTGCAATCAGAGACTGAGACCCGCCTTAAAGATTCCAGAATGGGTTAGGAAAACACACTCCCTTCAGGGAAGGAAGTGGTGTGGTGGCCACCACACACTTGCCTGGGGCCATGAAGTCCGAGTCACAGCTGGTGGCACAAACTTTATGTTTTGGAAAGGATTACAAGGGGCATGGAAAAGATCATTTCTTACATGAGACGCGTGTAAAAATCCAGGAACAAAATCGCATTTACTTTGTACTCAAATCCTATGAGATAAGTGTTTTCACACTCTGAATTTAAGTACTCAGAGAAATGATTTAATTTTCCAAAGGCCAAAGTTAATAAAACACAGAAATGGGATTCCAGGGGTTGAGCTGAGGGAAAGTCCATGTTGTCAGATCAATTAGAAGCCTTCCGTAGACTGGGTGAGGGACTGTATAAAGCATGCTACACATGGCCTTCCAAAGGACCGTTGACCTGGTGTCTTATAGTCTCGTGGATATAGGTACAGATGGGCTGAGTGGCAGCAATTCTTTGGTGACATTTCAGAGGAGAAGGCTATTGTCACTGCTGGGCTACCCTACTCTTTGGTGACTTGTGAGGGAACAGGAGCTGTTATGGTTGGATCTTGAATATTTCCCAAAGACCCCACTGAGGAAGGTCCCCACTGGTGTTATTGAGCGGTGGCAGGGCCCAGTGGGAGAAGGGAGGTCACCGGGGCAGATCCCTGAAGGAGGCTGTGGAGCCCCGATCACTTCCTCTTTGCTCTGCGTTCCTGCTGCCATGAGGTCAGCAATGCCCTCCCTCATATGTGTCCCTTCGCCACAGGACCAAAGTGACCACAAGAGCCCAGTGACTGTGGACTGAAGCCTTCAAAATTGTGGACCGAATTCTTCCTAAGTTGGTTTTCTTGGACATTTTGTCTCAGCAATGAAGGGCTAACTAACAGAGACACCATTTTTACATTTTGCAAAAGAGGATAGCAGAGCAATAGCACATATCACGTGACAGGACCCCAGGCTGGAGGAGAACTGGCGTCACCCCTCTACAGCCTCCATTTTCTTTTCCTTTCTAGTTGTATTCGACATTCTTTAATGTTGTGTTCCCAGGAACAACAAATAACGTATGGCTGACATTCCTTGTGAGTGAGGATTTTTCCTTCCAGGTACCTGTGCACGTTCTAAAGGTGAGAAATGGACATTGTAATGTCGTTTCTCCCATGTGTTCCACCACAGGCCTGAGAAAGTAGAAAGCACTCTGTGACATTCTGGAAATTCATTTGAGAATCACAAACTGCCTCTTTACCATCCTTTGCAGGGGGCTTTTTTTTTTTTTAAAGTCAAATTAAGGTAACCAATACAGTTTTCCAATAAACATGATTTTTTTAAAGCAAGCAAGCAAACTATTGCTTTATAAAATAAGTCACATTTAGAATATGTATGGGTGTATATGCATGTATGTGCATCTGTATGCATATGTATGTATATGTATGTGTACATATGTATGTGTATATATGTATGAATGTGTGCATATGTGTGTGTATATGGGAGAAAGAAGGCAAGTTTATAAAATTATCACAGTTACTCTCATTTAGTAAAACTGAGTTTGATGACCCCATATGAAGAATTAAGGAATACTGACTAGACTGGATTTAAACAAAGAAAAACATAATTTACTGCCATAATTTTTGTTCTTTCTACTGTTGAGTGGCCAATGGTGGTCACTCTTACCTTAAACTTCCCGTCACTGGAGAAAATGCTAACCCACTTGTTATCGTAATCCGCGATGATAATGTCCCCACTAGGGTGCACTGCTACCCCAGTGGGCCGCTGTAGCTGTCCGGGTGATCGTCCTCGGATGCCAAAACGACTTTTGAATTGCCCATCGTTGGAAAATATCTGTACAGTGAATTTACACACTCATTAGAATCTGAGTAGCACAGAAATCACCAGGACAGGAAAAGGCATTTGCCAAATACACTACAGATCAGAACATGTCAATGTTGCTTAAGAAATCCCCCATACACACACACACACACACACACACACACACACACACA